AGTATTCAGCTTTGATTTATGCATGAAACTCTAGAAGAATCTATAAATATCTCATGTTCATTTCAAAATTAAATTTTTTCATATCATCGAATCCCCTCCAGAGATTTAAAGGACAAAAAAAAAACTTTTTGCGTTTATAAATAAGTTATTTATATCAGTTCATTAAAGACGCTCTGCTGATTATTGATACGTAAAATTTTTTAATTAATTCGTTGAGTATTGTTAAAATATTGTCAATATATTGGCTGCCTTCATATGGAAATATAGGCTATTCTAGAGAACAATCTTGCAAGCTTATAATGAGTCCCTGCTGCTCTGAAGGATGTTATGCTTAAAACTTATAGAGCTCGATAGTGTGTAATTTTTGAGAAAAGTTTCATGTTGATATTGATTTGTTCTATACTACAGAGTGATACACACTGATATGTCACATATAGTCAAGAAATGATCTAGATCTAAAAGAAAAGAATCATTCTGTAAGTATGAAGAAAGTAACAATGAAAACTATTGATTATAGAAAGTCAAAGAGCATCTATAACTGTATTAAATTGAGTTTAAAAGCAAAATTCACATAAGTTTATCTTAGAAAATCTTAGGGATCGTAATATTTATGAGTGCCATATATGCTACTGAAGAAATATGACCAATATATGGACCCTCAGCATATGAAAACTTGAAGAAAACTTGATTTCTTATATAGTATTTGATGCACCACAAATAGCTCTACACAGGCATATATGTGGTATTCTGGTTCAAGATAGATCACAAAATTGGACGGAATCTTTTCGATCCTTAGTTGTTCCCTTAGGAGCATCGTAGACAATTTATTCTTTTTCTAGGTGAGAGAGTAAAGTCTGAACTTCAAAAATATACGAAAATTTTTTTAGATTAATTTTAAGTAAGAAAAAAATTCGATCTGACACTATATCGAAAGATCATTTGCAACATACTTTTTTTCTTATATTTTTTCTAATATCTGAACAAAAACTTTTTCTTAAAAACCAAAGAAATGAGATCATAGTTCTTACAAAACTTTATCAATTTTCATACTTAAGAAAGTTTTTCAGTAATTCTTCAACAGTAAATAAAATGTATTATAAATGTTTTAGTTTTGATAAAAAGCAGTATTTTGTATGAGAAAAAATCCGTTATTCAGGACTTAAATATGTTGGTACAGGTTAAAACTTATTTTAGTTTGTAGAGAATTGTATACTGCTTCAGAAAATGTATTTTAGAGATAGAAGAAAAATTCATGTACGTACTTAATACCTGGAAACTGTAGCATGAGTTAGGTGGGCTTTGTAAATCTCTAATCTCAAAGTGAATTACAACATAATTTATCATACGTGATCTGAAAGAACGACAAAAACTCTTCTAATTTGTATAATGATATAACTTAAAACGTAATCTTTTATAGGGAAAAAGAAAGGTTTGATGCGAGAGATACACTTGAAGAGAAGAGAAGTTGTCAGGTTTTTTTTTAGGCGACATGTGATATTGAACTTTTTTCTCACTCAAACTTAGTTTAAAAATACTAAACACGGGCCTAGATTTCGGTAATTACTTTTGCATGACAGGTTATTTACAATAAACAAGTGTTTTTGTTTATACATTAACGATATCTTTTATCATAGAATGGCTGTGAATCCAAAGATGCTATACACAATAGCTTTTCAAACTTAAACATTTGACATAGATGACAATGAATTTATATAGAATAGCAACAGCTTTAATATCTATCAAGCACTCTAATCATCAAGCCAAGAAGTACTCTTCCTGATATTCGTATTTAATGAAAGCTATTAAATGTTATCGACTTCTTCCATGTTGATATCAATATCTTCATTTTCATCTTGTTTTTGTCGGCTTCTTAGTCTGAATATGACGTATAGATTTCACTGACAAAGGATCATTGTTGATAAGCTGTTTCAGCATGTATGAATAAGTATACTTCTTTTTCTGGCCATCTCATTTGTAAATCAATCTCCATTTCTTTCACTTAGGGCAATCCAAAAGTAGTGTCATCATTTTCTTATTTCTCTATAGAAAGCTTGAAGAAATTTTCTTTCTTTATGTAGTGATAGAGAAAACGACGCTCTATTCTCCTGTACTATTTGATCAATATTCAACTAATATCATAATAATAAAATTTCAATAAGAACTGTTTTGGCATGATACTTCACTAACGGGTGAAGCAGATTAATATGCTTTGCATTTCAATTTTCAATCACTTAATACGTCGTATTAAAAAAACAAAATATACCACAAGATACAGCGTGAAAAGCTCTATAACTTACAAAAGAACAGTTTCTTTTATATATGAAATAAGAAAAACATTACTTTTTCGGGTCAGCGAAAGTTAGTCGTACAGAATTTTGGTATTTTTTCAAAACAAGAAGTACACAATTAAAGTAAGCGTTACTTTGTAGATTGTAGAACTTTGCACGCTGTATCTTGTGATGTATTTTGTTTTTCTTAACTAAAAGATATCAGGCGACAAAAAGATGCAATAAGAAAAAATGAATTTATCTCGTACTAAAAAATATCGTTTCCGCATGGTCAAAAATTGGTCCCTCACAATTTTGTTCATTTTGAAAAAAAAAAGTGCAATTATAAAATAAGCGGTCTTTTGTAAATTGCAGAGCTTCTCGCGCTGCATCTTGTGGTATATTTTGTTTTTTAATACAATGCATTAAGTGGTTGAAACATTTAAACTGCCGCACCCGTTAGTGAAGTTTCATACCAAAACAGTTCTTATTGAAATTTTATTATTATGATATTAGTTGAATACTGATCAAATAGTGCAGAAAAATAGAGCATCGTTTTCTCTATCACTACATAAAGAAAGAAATTTTCTTCAAGCTTTCTATCGAGAAATAAGATAATGACGACACTACTTTTGGATTGCCCTAAGTATAATTACGCGAATAAGAACAATTAATTAAATCGCCATTGGTAAACGATAGCTACTACGTGTAAGTAAATATTCAAACAAGACAAATAGAAGAAATACTATGTCGCAGAGATATTTAAAAAAAATCAAGATCAGACAAGTGTCAAGAGTGCATAAAATGAGTTATTACTTCTATTTATTAATGATTGTCGTCTTTTAAAATAGAGTTGATTGTAGCAGATCGTGGCCTCGATATGACTATAGCCTTAATACATAATAAATATGTTTTTATGACATATGAAAAATAGAAAAGAGCAAAAAATATCAAAATTTCAATTTGAATCTGAGATCAATGGAGTAGAGATTCTAGATAAATAAATTGAAAAATCAAATCATAATTAATTTATACGATTTCTATCTTATTATCATACTCATAATTCTATTATTTTCTTCTGTGTCTTGGATATCATCATCCAATGAGATTAATAACCAATATTGAGGAAAAAACAAGTAAATTTGTATTGGTGTGAAATCTGTTAATTTGGATCAGAACTAAATGAATATAGTATCGAAATATTCGGCCTCAATGTGTGCTTTAGTTATGAAGATATATGCCACCATGATAAGATATATAAAAGCTTCATATTGACCTATTGATGACTCAACTTCTTTCATATGCACGAGAGAATTTGAGACCAATTCTTGTCGTACGAGTTGGAGGTCATTAAAACCTTATTTTTTCCTATCATTGAGGTCTGTGATAATTCTCTTTCAAGTTAAGTAAGCTGAACTACAAACATACAATGAAATGTAGCTATTATGTAAGTGTTATTAATATCAAATGAAACGCTTAAATAACTAACTTTTACAAAAAGAGTTGTTCCCTAAGTCTTCATCTTATAAAAAAAGAGGTAATGATCAATTTTTTGAATTAATTCTTGCGAATCATCGATCTGGCAGATATTAAACATGTAATTATAACTAATAGCGAGAGATTTTACTGGATCAATTTGACTACTTATGTGTTTCTCTTATTTGTTGAACTTAAATATTGAAAAAGAAAGAGATTACTCTTCCTCAAGTTTATCAGAAAACTATAACAGTACTAATTAGTATTTTTCATATTACTGTTTCAAACATACGTATCTTATATAAAAAAAACTAAAGCACATAAAATAAGAAGTTACATGTTGTGCAGTAATTAAAGCTGAATAGTTCTCTGTTTTGATTCTCATAAGCAAAAGTTTTTCCAACAAATAAATATTTAAACTTTCTTTTCTTTGCAATGATCGATTTTCTTTATGATTATTAACGAATCCATAATTGAATGTCATAGTTGTAAAGGAGCTCTCTTTCGGTAATAATTGTAGATGATAGATGACATTGCATCCAATGAATAAGATCATCGGATTTTGGTAACAATGTCTCACTTTCATGTTGATTATCTTGATATCGAATATTTAATACTCGAAGTTTAATCATTCTGTTAATACGAAAAAGTATACTTCTTCGATGTCGAACTCTGATAGAAAGTACTTCGCATTGTTTACCTAATGATGAACGGCTTAATACAATACATTGATCATGATTGCAGAAATACCATTAATCAAATGAATTAGTTTCTTTGAAATTCAGTCGATGAATCGATATATTGCTATTATTGAAGAATGATCATTTTGAATTTGACGAAAGATTCAAATTGAAACTTAGTGAATATAAATGTGGTGCTTGATCGAATAATACTTGTAAATATGATTGATTGATTTTCTCAGTAGACAATTTAATGTTGAGTGAAATTACTCGATCAAGTTTTGGGATAATCGACCAAAAATATTCATCGAATGGAGGTTCTACAATAAGTTTATGAATCTTAGAAAAATGTAAGAGTGGTGATTTGTTAAATAAAGAAGGGTTAAAAGATGTCATTTTTACAGTTTTTTTCAAATGAACAAAGAATAATCGTTGAATTATTATCTGCAATTGAAAATGTTCTTATTTTTCTTGAACCAAACCGGAAAATTTTATTAATTTTTGATAATGAAGTTGTTCGATTGGTAGTCAATACCGCATCAAGTTCTGTTTCTTTTGATGAAATATTACATTTGGTCTAGCGAGCATTATATGATAAACAACGAACACGAGAAGATGACCAATCATTACGATGATAAGGAAATGTTGATCTAGACCATAGATGATTATTAGTAATAGATAAATGTGAGAAAGTATATGATAAAGTATAAAACAAAATACATTGATTGTATTTATTTTCTGAGTTCCAATGACATCGAACAAACCATTGATGTTCATCAATCCAAAATTGACTTTGCAATGAATCGAGCATGTAATTACCTCGTTCTTTAACAATATCAAAATTATAAAAATAAATAGCCATTTTAAATCGAAATGTTTTAAGTTTTGGCAAAAAGTTAGTTATAAAACATTTCCATCGATGTCCATCCATAAATATAAATAGTGTTTCAATTGTTAAATGATATAAATTAGGAATTGTACTAAATAGAGAAATTCCTCAAGGTATATGATTCATAAAAAAGACTTTTAATGAACTGAAACTTTCATCATTAAGTTCAAATTTAATAATCGATGGAAAATGTTCAACAACATGAATATCTTCATCATTCAAATGTGTATAAATTTGAATATGTCGTAAATGAGGTTTGGTACTTCATAAATTGATATACATCGTTCATACTCATACAAAAATGTTTAATAGACATATATTCTATAGATGAAGAGATCGATCTTGTCGATATTGAATTAATTCTTCCATTAGAAGTATTATGTAATTTTAAATGAATTACTTTTTGGTAATTTCCAAATATAGTCGATCAAGTCGAAATGATCATCAAATAATGAGGATAAGCAACAATCAATAAAATTCAGATGAGTTAGATTTGAAAGATGAACTAAATCACTTACAATATGTTGAATAATCGTCTGTGAATGAATTTCATAGAATGAAAGTGATTGTAAATGAAGAAATTGAGAAAGAATAAAATTCTAAGAAAAGAATAATGCAATTTGTTGTGGACTTTCATCATCATTCGAAAGTTTGAATGCAATAGTTTTATTAATAATTGATGGTAGATGATGTTGACAAATTAAATTAAAAACATTCTTAGATATTGATCGAAAATCAAGATAATGAATATCTCGTAAATAAATAACGAGAATTAAGAAATGGAAAAGCTCGTAATAGTTGAGTAATATTAAAGTATTCAAATAGTTCAAGTAGTAATTCATTAGCTAACTCTTCAAATATCATTGTTTTCTGTGTTTTTCTGAAATTCAATAGAAATATGTCTTCTATTAAAGAATAAATATGTCTATATTTGCTAACAATATAATACATGTCTTAGAGAATATCATCACATTCATATTTTGACTGCTGATCTTTTTTTGTATGTACTATGTCTAAAATTACCAGTACATACTTGGAACTAGATTGGCCGATTTTCATCAGTTTTGTAAGACTCATCTATATTTTCGAGGAAAATAATAGTGAATGGAAGTTTAAATCGAGGTTTTACAACTTCCCTATTCTGAGGTTCTAGCAACCATGGTTAAAGATCACCTCCCTCTCCTCATTACAGACCGTATTTCTCTTAAAAGAAAGATATCATAAGAAACCATTCATGATTTTAGAGAATATACTAAACTTTTAAAGGTTTCATTTATTTATTAATCAACCATCAAAGGTTCTAGATAACTTAAAGAACTATGCCGAATAAAAAATGCTTCCAGGTGTCCAGAAGAGTTCTATTTTTCACCCTTTTCTTTGTAGGTAAACCTCTTTTATAAAGATGGTTTCAGTTCAAGTCACTTGAATTAAGGTAGATCTTTTTTTGAACAGAACCTAATTGATGTAAATTCGGAATAGCTTTATTGATTTAATATAATAATAAAAAAAAACAGAGTGTGAGTGTGGTTGTGTCCATATAGAAGACCCACATTAAAATGATGTATCTGAACAGATTTCTTTGTAAGTGTGACTGTTGCCATTTTAATGATATTTTTTTGTAAAAGAAGACTTTTAAATGAAAATCTTTGAATTTTTTTCCAATATTTATATAATGTAATATGTGTGAGTTAGAATACAAAAATACTAAATAAATCTGATTTTTTGAAAATAAATTCTAGTAATTTTCTTGTTTAAGAATAATTTCTTTGAAAGATCGTTGATTCGGTCCATAATTAATCTGTTAATTTCATGATCATCATATCCATAAATCTCGACGAGAAGGAATTGGGATATATTAGCCTCTCAATTCTTTACTTCTAAAAACTATCAAGAGCTTTGATAATATTCAATCGAAAGAAAAGGTGAATGATTTATAATCTAGTTTGATTCAATAATTTTTTAGATATTTATCTTGATTATAAATTTACTTATTATTTTAATGGATGTAAAAGAAAAATTTCTTCACTGTTCTAATAACAATACTAACTATCAACATTAAAAATATTTTTATTAATTAACACTTGAAAAAAAATCTTGTTTATATTTTTCATATTGTTTCAAACGATATCTTCCATATTTAACATAATCAAATTTATCCATTGATTGATGATTAAGTAAAGCTTCTAAAAATGACCATAATGACCAATAAAGATGTATAGGTGCACGTAAACAATCACATAAATCACATAATTCATCAATAGACATTTGTTTTTCAAATTTATCATTTAAAAATAAAGCATTTGATAAATATATTTCTAACCATTGTTTTTGTTTATTACGTTTTGGATATTTATTATCATAATCTGGTTCTTCATTATCTAAACCAGCATATTCAATAAAATGATTAAATACATCAAATAACCAAAAATTTCTTGAACAATGTTCAAAATCAATTAATGATATTTTATTTGTTTTTTTTTCATCATATAAAAAATTTAAACATTGAGTATCATTATGACAAACAACAATTGTTAAATTTGACCATTTTGAATTTTTTTTATCAATTATTTCTTCTATTTTATTAATATCTTCAGTTATTTTTAACCAAGATATATCATTTAAATATGAACTTAATGAAAGTTTTATTCGTTTATATAATTCTTCATTGGTACCATTTAATAAATTAATATAATGTCGTAGTTTTTCTACTAATTGACCTTTTACTTGTTTATCTATTAATGGTATTGAATGAAATTCAGCTAATTTTCGAGCAATTAATAATCTAATTTTAAAAAACAAATTATATACATATATTTTAAATACAATTCAAATAAATGAAAAGCTCGTTAATGGCGTCACATTAGGACTGTATTGTAGAATTTAAATGTTTCATATAACCTATTAGATAATTTAATATAGATATCTTTTTCATTTTATGAAATATATTCGAAAATTCGAAAAAAGTAAAGTAAAATAATGAAAGAATACATTTGCTAATTAATATTGATCAATATGCTGAGAAGTTCTTTAATGTATAAAACTAAATAGAAGGTTAATTAGTTTATGATAAAGAAAAAAAATATGTACAATAACAATCAAAATAAATAAATTAATAAATGACTAAAATGAAATTTCTCACAGATTGAAACAGTTACAGATAAATACGGAAGTACGAAGTACGCTAAAAGAAAAACATCGCTTCACTATTAGTAGTGCATATGTTGGTGCCTTAATTCTACACTCTGCTCTTTGATTGTTTCCCCTTTTTTTGTCTCCTTTTTTTTTCTTCAAATTTCAATCAATGTTGTTCACTATGTAAATCTTTTATTTTTGCATGCATAACTACAAGTGACAGTAGTATTTAAATGATTGATTTAATCTGTAGTTAATATGGAAGTGTACTCCATGACCTTTAGCTTCAATTTAAAACTTACTCACTATTTTCTTCAAAAAACATATATGAGTTACATAAAAATTAACTTACGATTTTTTTTCATCATCATTTGAAATAGGACTTCCAGATAAATATTCATAAATAAATCCATTATTAAATGTTAATAAAATTGATGGAGACGTATGAAATTGAGCTAAATAAATCATATATCGAATTTCAGCTTGACGATCAACAATTAAATCAGAATTTTTTCCATAAATTTTTACAACAACACCATTATTTTCATGTGAATATACAGCAAAAAGTATATTTGAAAGACCATCAGTAAGTTTTTTAATAGTTAATGATGAATTTGATTTGATCCAATTTTGTTTTAGTGAATTTGATACAAAATTTAATACAATTGATTCAATATCTTGTTCATTTGGATCGAAATTAATATTTTCATGTGAAATCGATGAAAGCATGATGAATTATTATTTGTTTTTCTTCTGCTGCAATGCAATTGATCAAGGAAATTAAATATACGAATAAGTCTAACCAGACCATGAAACACGTTTCTTTTTCTTTCCATTCTTTTTCTGTGCAGAAAGAAAAAGAAAGAAGAAGCGATATTTGTTCTGAATATAAATATATATACGAAGAAAAACAAATTGTCATATGATCATACAGTAAAAAAAAAAATCTAATATTGATAAGGAGAAAAAGTCTTTACTATTTAGTAACTATCATCGTATTGTCGGAGAAATTTTCGTAGTTTTTTTTTAAAGTTTTTCTGTTTCGGAAAAATTGTGTTGTCACTTACATAAGCATTGAATAGAACATTTTTTATATTAACTAGCATGACAGATGGCAATACCAATCTTCATCTGTTATGTGCTTTAAAACAGTCCACTGAAATTTATTAAAAATACGCGATTGTAATATGATTTTTATCTGGATTTGAATGAAAGAATCCATTTCCAAAACTGGTTTAGCATTTTTCTCAAAACACGGTTTCTAGACAGGAAAATTGAAATAATTCCCACCCGGCTCAGGATATAACCGATGTTTTTTTTTTTGTTTTAAAGGTCTTAATCAGAGCTAACTTTTGATCGGACGGATTTTTGATATTTGATTCTTGGATTGAGAAAAGTGAGATTTACTGTTAATCGAATCACCTATTTTATGCTTATATTTTGAATATCATGTCCACTAAAATGGTCACAAAAAATGAATGAAAGGAAGTTTCAAAATTCTGTTCGATGAAAAGTTGCGAACAGACGTTAGCTTTAATTTTAAACGAGCCCGAGCTCTATATCTCTTATAACGATGAAGTTATTTTGCTTCTCTTGAAAGCTATAAATACAAGACGGAAGTTCGGTCTAGTAGGATATATTAAGCTGAAATTTTTATCACAAGCGTTTCTCACTAGGACCAATCGTCCTTGTGAGTTTCAGTCCAAACGGGCCATTCTAAGTGATAAATCGATTCTGAGGGTACCTCCTAAGCCATTGGTCTTTATACGACACAACACCAATTTAATAAACATGTTTTGTTTTACGAAGAATAAATTTTAAATAATATTGTTCTATAATAGAATTCTGCAAATGACAACTGAAAGAAACGAATTTGAAAGTAGCTAAGAATAAACTTAACTATCTAGAAAATTGTGAGATGATGCTTTCTTCAATTAGATATTTTTACCTTGAAGTTTGTGACTTGGATTGCATATTGAATGTTTTGCTCGTTAACACATAAAATACAGGTTGTGTCGGTTCTCGAAAAATTCAGTAGTGCCACACCTAAATCTTGGATTCAATTATTGAAGCTCTCTTCAGCTATTCAACTATTCAATTATTAAGCTCAGATATTCGGATAAAAATACCACATGTGTGTTTCCATGAGTAGTTTAATATTTGAATGCTAGTTTTTCAAATATAAGATGTTCAATCATAGAATTCAAGTTCCAGGTTAGACATATATGTTGAAATTATGAAAAAGAATACAACTTTCATGTGTTGACCCGTGACAAGCTTAAAATTAGTGCTTAATTTTACTATACTTTCTAGTTTTAAACAACTTTACCCAATTTAAATTTTAGAAGTCAGAAGCTTAGCGATAGACTTGATTTTTGAATTATAAGATTTCTATTTAAAGTTAAAGAACCTTTTTGGTAATTTTTTTTTCTCAAAAGAAAATTGAAACGTTCGCTCGCATACGCGCTTGTCTTTTTATACATCAAGTTGATCATGGAAAATTTTTTCTAATTACTCAATTAGATCATTTTTATATAAATGCAGAAATATAGAAAACATAGAATTTGACAATTATTCTTGTTTAAATTTTAATGCATATCATTTATCCACTAGTAATGATAATGGAGAAACAGCAAATATCAACTCTGAATTTCGCTTTTTTCGACAATACAGAAACAGAATGATATACTGATTGTGGCTCAGATTGACTTAGAAAATTATGTTCTAACGAGTTTGCATACACACAGAGATGTACAATGTTAGTGTAAATAGTATAATACTGATGGTGACATCTACCGAAACACTGGGGAAGTGACTCTGTCAAAGTACATCTCTTTTGTGCTTTTACCTATAATCTTCAACGAAAAGTAATAAATTGAGAACACTTACTCCTTCCAAAAAACAAAACCTATCGATGAGAACATTATAAAGGGTGGCCCAGAAGTCCTGATTCGATTTGTATAATTAATTTTTTTATCTTAAAACAGATCTTTAAAAATTTGTCTCTATGATAGAAAGATGCAGTGAAAGACGCTCTACAAAACAGCCTATGAGTGATCCTCCCTAACTCATGTATTAAGAAAGTTATCAGCTTAGAAATATGCATCACAAAAAATAAAAATTAACCGTGAACATTTTAGAATGATGAAAACTTTATTTTGTTCGAAAAATGTTCTTTTAATTATAAAATATTTCTTCATCATGAGCGTTACAACAAAAAACATTATGGATCAATGTTCATAAACTTGATTTCCATTGAATTGGATCACTTTTGCAAGGCGTTTAGGTATGTTATCTATCATTGCTTTACATTGCTCAGGTGTAATTTTTCGCCATTCCGAATTAATAAAATCAACTAACGAATCAATATTTTCAAATGTTTTTCCTCTTGTTTTTTCATCCATAATCCCCCAAATGTTTTCAATGGGCCACACATCTGCAAATTTAGCATCTCCATCATTTGGTTCGATTCTTTCTTCAAAGAAATCATTTACAACATCCATAGCTGTTTTCGTTCGATGTTTGGAATCTTGATCATCTTGGAATATGACTTCGTTCAGATTTTCCACCACTTCATTAATTGTCGAAATAGCTTCTTCACGTAAAAATTTAGCATATAAATCACCAATCATGTACATTCTTTTACGTTTATCCAGTGGACATTGATCTCGTAACCATTGAGTAAAATTGATAGGACCATCTTGAGATATCAAGCCTTTCGTGGTAATCGCACCCCAAAACATAACACCGCTTGGATATTTTACTATTGATGCTTCTCTTAAATCAGCAGGAATTTCAGATGACTCTTCAGCATAAATTACATCATTTTTGCTATTGTGAAAACCTTCAATTGTAAATATTCCAGAAATATCAATATTAACAATTTTGTCCCATTGCCATTTATGATCATTTTTTCTCGCACCAAATTTTCGTATTAATTTTTTTGCACAACTAACACGTTGTTGTTTGTTTGATGTTGTTAACTTTTGTGCTTTTTTCAATTTGAATGGTTTCAAATTTAATTCCTTAATTGTTCTTTGCACCGAGATTATTTTACCTTCAATGCTATTTCATTGTAATTCAAATACCACTTTTCTTTGACATTGCCCCTTTTTTAAGCATATTAACCGTTCTACTGCTTTCTTCAATTGTTCTGTTCGAACAGTTCGTGGTGCACCGTATCTTTATCTATCCTTGATTGTTCCTCGTTGTAATATTCGACTTATTTTGCTTCTTAATGCATCACGATGTAATGAAGTGGATTTTCATAAGATTGTATTTCATCAGCAATATCGGCTGCCACCTACGTGGAATTCATTTCCTTCATAGAAAGAACAAGTCCATGGAATTGCTCTTCGAGAGTGAGTGTGTTTGACATTTTGTTATACGACGTAGAAAATCGTGTTGGTTATAGTATACTTTCGTTACAGTGAAACGAGTGTATTTATAGGTTAAAGCGGCAATCGAATATGCGAAGAAAGAAAGAGAGATATCATGAAAACAAAGAGAAAGTGATTAAAGAGATCTAGAAAAGATAGTACGGACATAGAAAGATATAGAATACACCATGTGAATACACAGAGAACGAAAGATATTTCGGATGCCTGGAAAAATGCAGTAACATCTAGGGAATGATTCCAAATACAGTAATA